ATTTGAGGCGCAGTCACGGTCAACATTTGCATGAAATAATCTTCATACATTAAATTATATGGACCGGACTATCGATTCAGATAAAGATTTCATGCATTTTTCTGAATTTTATGAGGATTTTTTTTGAAAAACTTTCCCATAGCTCTTAAAAACACCCTTTATTATAAGAATTATTGTTTATAGTTTTCAATAAATCGATAGGAAAATTTAATTAAAATATTAAAAACACATCTCTGATTAGAATAGACACATTCGGTTCTTCGGCTGCACTTTGTTTTACAGTAACGATATTACACTGGCCTGGCAATGTCTTTAAGTTATCATCATGTGCCCAGGTTTGTAAATCGCTATTTTTGTAGTAGACTATGACAATTTTAATGGATCTGTTCCTGTTTTTTTGAATAAAACAAAACATGTTTGGTTTGAAAATTAAATTTGAAAGATATCAAAATACAATGTGGTACTTTTGAAAACACAAAATGGATAATCCTATACATATTTGCAGCACAGCGCCACTTTTTGAAATTACGATTTTTTTTGAGGGGCACAAAAAAACAGCTCGCCTTGATCAATTAAGAATTATGTGTGTTTTTATACTTCTCAAACTTCGGTAAATAATTTTGTCGATTTTGTTTTCTTTTTTCTTTATTATTTTTAAAACAAAAAATGCCAAATAAAATGCATAAAAACAAAACTCATGCATGTAGGTGTCGCAAAATCATAATGTATTCCGGTCAATGTCGTCAGACTACATAGATATATTTATAAAACGGAAGTAACATAGAAAACTTGAACTTTGATCTCACCGTTATTTTATTTTTTTTACTTCATTTAAGAAATGTACTTTTCTTAAAACCTTTTTATTGTCGAATATTTATTAAGGAAATAATAAACACGCCACTTATTTAATTTCAAAGTGCAATTTGTTAACAAAAAATTATGCAAAAAAAGGAAAGAAATCAGTGATAACGGTAATTGAGCCTACAAAGTTCAATGTATAAGTGGATAACTATAAAATTGAAACCCATACTTGATATCTCTAGTAATTCAAATTTTTGTTTTAATATATATTTGTATTTATATATGTATGTATGTTCTTGCTAATCCGCTCAACGCGGGAGCGGTTGTTGTCCAAGTCGTTTCTGTACTGATTATCGGTTGTTTTATTATTACGAGTATTAAGGCTTATCTCTGCCGATTAGCGATCTGTGATTAACTATGTACTGAAATTATTTGCAAAAAATAAAATAAAATTAAAAAAATAAATGAATGGAATTCAATAATAAATAAATAAAATAAAATAAATTAATATAAAATAATATAAAATAATATAAAATAAAATAAAATAAAATAAAATAAAATAAAATAAAATAAAATGCAAAAAATTGAAATAAAAAGAAACTAGAATAAAATTAAAAATTAAATAAAATAAAATTAAAAATTAAATAAAATAAAAAAATTCAAATTGATTTAATTAAATGATATAAATTAAATATCTAAATAAAACAGTATAACAAAAAAAAAAAAACAAAGTAAAATAGAACAAAATAAAATTAAAATATTAAAAGTAAATATAATAAAACAATAATAAGATTGAAATAAAAAAATAGAATAATTAACAATAAAGTAATTGAAATAAAATAATATAACGTAAGGCAACAAATTAAAATCTAATTAAATAAAATATAATTAAATGAGATGAATTGAAATAAAACTACATAAAATAAAATTAAATATTTAAAAAAAGAAAAGAAGTAAAAAAAAAATAAAAAAAAATTGAAAAAAAAAACAAAATAAAATAGAATAAAAACAAAAACACATTAAATAAATTAAAATAAAGCAAATAAAATAAATCCAAATTATATAAATTAAAAAAAGTAAATTAAATTGAATTAAACTAAATGAAAACAGAAAGTAAAAAAAAAAAACAATGAAATCATATAATATAAAAGAAAATAAAGAAATAATTAATAAAATAATCTACAATATATACATATATATACTCGTATAACGTACGCTCCCGATAATAAAGCATTTTTTTGGGAAGTGGATCTGGGACCGATCTATTCCGAATTTGACGTCTGACTCTTCCAAAAACTCTAGAGACCACTTCGAGAACAGTGTTATGAGTGAATTGAGGAGATTAAACGTGAATTGGCGCGCTCTCTAAAGGCCATAACAGAACGTGACTATTTGACATGCTTCGATAATTGGAAAAAGCAGGCGACGAGATTGATGTAGAAGAATAAATATAGATTTGCAAATTTACAAACAAATTCTCCATACTTTTTGCTCACATTAGTATTTAGGGGGCTCTTTGTCAAGGTCCAATACGCAGAGACTCGTTGCTTGATATCTGGAACATTTCATTGCCTATACTAAATAATATGTGGAATAAGTTGTAATAAAAGAAATAGAAAATAAAATAAAATATGCATTGAAATGGAATAAAACTAAATAAAAATTAAAATATAAAATAAAAAATAATAACAAAATTAAAATACTAATAACAATGCACATTTATTTGAAACAAAAGATTGTGCCTGTTTTGTATATAAAATATATGCAGGTATTTGTTTGGCTTTCGTTAAATAAAATATATAACTATCACATTTAAGCAGCAAATTAATATTTGTATTTAACTTTTGCTTTTATTTTCTTTTTTCTCTGTTAATTTTATGCATATTTAAAATAAAAATGTTCCGCGGCATTCTGCTGAAATAATAATTTTGCAATTATGTATGTATGTATTTTTAGATGCCGAAAATTTCAATAGATGACAACCTGTTGAGAAATTTTCAATATGCTATATAATATACTATATATACGTATATATTTGCATGGCTAGCAGGCCAAATAAAAAAAGTGTTCCTTAAACATACAAAAACAATAAATTAGTAAAAGTTCCCATGCCATCACTGGCCAGCTCAAGCACATCTTATTGAACATTAGTGGCTTATACAGATACGTATGTACATATGTATTATGTATTTGGTTTTTAATTACTTAAATAAACCCCAAAAAATGATACCTTTATTCCAGCTTAACCAAAAAATTATATGGATTGGTGCTTTTTTAACTACTACCACTTTCGGCAACATTGGTACTAGTTACTTTAGTACTGCTATTTATATATATATATATATATTGCCGCTTTGTAACCATTTTTCGGCCGAGCTCCTCCTCCAATTTGTGGTTTTGCGTCTTGATGTTTTTTTAACAAATGGAGGGGGACCTACAGTTTATACTAAGCCGCCTCCGAACGGCTGATGGTTTGTTTTATGAGAAGTCTTTATTTCATGTCAGAAAACTCTCGGAGGAGTTGACATTCTCTGCCGACGGGCGACCGCAATTAGAAAATTTATCTTAATTTTTTATTTAAATTAATTTTCTATAACTTTTGGATGTTGGTCGCACGGTGATTCGAATCTGAGCCTTCCGTATGGCAGTACGCTTTGCTAACCACTCGGCTACTAATTGATCTAATATTTATTTTTTATGCACTAAATATTTTGTTAATGCACATGTATGTACACATGTATGTTTGTTTACATATATAATATGTTTATACATATATGCACATAAACATTTAATTTAATATGTAGTACTTCTTTTTTCATAATATATAATATAACACTTATGATTGCAAAATGCGGGCAAACACAAACAACTTTCATGGTGATAAAAAAGAGCAACAAAAACTCACTGATTTATATACATACAATATAAATATAATATAAATATATAAGTGCATATGTAGGTTAGCGCGTGTGTATAGCTCATGTGCTTGTGTCTGCCTATTTCTACATGCCGAATCACCTTATTCTCTCCAATTGATTAACGCTGTTCAAAGTTCATAATAAAATTAATCAGAAGAAGAAGCAATTGATGAAGCTTTTATTTTGTAAACATTCAAAAAAAAAAAATCGTCTACAAATCGAAAATAAACAAAATCAGGTGGGCAGAAGTGTTTTAGGTGATATGTCCAAAATAATTAGATTATTATGGCCAAACAAAGGGTGGTTGCATTATTATTATTTTTTCTATTATATTTCGATATGTATATGTATGTATGTACATACGTGTATATGATTTTTAGATACAAAAATATTCTTATTGATTATTTTTTGAGTTATTTTTTGTTTCGATTTGGATTGGATGGCAACGAATTGCACACACAGGTGGTGTTATTTGGCGACTTTTATGTATCGAACTCGTTAAAAGACGCTGCAAGTTCGTTATTTATGTTTATATTAATTTCAAAAGGTTTTGGCATACAAACAATAATGTGGTTATATTAATTAATGGCTATGAATTTGTCAAAAAGAAAACATTTTTAAATCGTTCATACATAAATATTTCTTCCTCCGGATTTGATGATTTATTTAAAGTTTTCGATTATAATAAAATTTCTATAACGTAATTAATAGATTCATTCATTAAACACAAACCTTTGAACTTCAGACTCTCAGCACTGATAAGCGATCTCAATTCGTGATTTTTCTAGTCCAGCATTTTTGTATATGAAAAAAAAATAAATTTATTAAATAGTATTTTAATGACTGTTGAAGGTTTTCTAATGTGCTACAAGGTTTAGTATTGAAAAAAAGCATAATTAGTTGAATTATCAATAAATTTTTCAATACACTGTACATTATTTGTATTTTTATTAAATTTTTACAAAATCAAAATGGAGGTGAAATTCTTTCTTTTAATTTGACTAAACTTTACAATAAAATTAAGAAAATTGTAGTAATAAATTTTTTATTCTCCTATATGTATGTATATATATCCTTGATATTACCCGCGTCTGTACCATACATACATAACTTCAATCTCATTCTTAAAAATGCCCCCAGTATTCCTTAAGAAAATCTCACTTGCAAGTTGAAAATCTAGTCGACTATGTTTAATGTATTTCTTATGTCTTTTTGCAATATTCTTTAGTAATCATTTTCATATTTGGTCTTAAATAAAAAATTGTTTTTTTCTCGTTGTAGAAAACCGGGCTATGAAGACAAAATACAATACACAATTGCAGAGAAGAAAGATAAAAAGAGCACAAAAGCTCACGTGAATTCTGTATTCTTCAAACAATTAAGACAGTTATTGCGTAAGTATGGTCTTTATGACGTATGTAGCTACAAGCCAGTGTAACCTAGCCAAATCCAGATCCATGTATTTAATCCTCATGGTATATTAAAAATAAATTAAATAAATCGAAATAAAATAAAAAATTTAAAAATAAAAAATTTCAAATAAATAAAACAAAACCAACTGAAGGAAAAAATTTAAAAAATTTATTTTTATTTAAAAAATAATTAAATAAAATCCTTAAAAAAGTAAATAAAAAATAAGCAAAAAAAAATAAAAAAATATAAAAAACAATAAAAACAATGAAAAAATAAAAAATGAAAGAAAATAAAAAATAAAAAAAATAAAAAATAAAAAACATAGAAAAATAAAAAAGTAAAAAAATAAAAATAAAAAAATAAAAAGAATGTAAGAAATAAAAGAAAAATAAAAAAAGATAAAATAAATAAAGTACAATAAAGTAAAACAAACCAAAATAAAATTATTAAAAAAATTAATAAAATATAGAAAACCATGACAAATATTGTGGAAACAAATAAAAAAATAAAAAAATAAGATAAAAAAGTAAAGACAATTTTATAATATTATAATAAAAAATTATGTAATGAAAAATGGACTAATATAAAATATAAAAAAAAATAAGAATAAATTAATACAAAATATAACAAAGCCAATACAAATATTGAAACCTAAAATAATAAAAAAATAATAGAAAAATAAAAAAAATTAAATTAAATGAAAAATAGAAAAAAGTAAAATAAAATAAAAAAATAAAATAAATAGAAAAAATAAAAAATAGAAAAAATAAAAAATAGAAAAAATAAAAAATAGAAAAAATAAAAGTAATAGAAAAAAAAATTGAAAACAAAAAAATATAAAAAAAATAAAAATAGAAAAAATAAAAAAAAATAAAAATAGAAAAAATAAAAAAAATAAAAAGAATAAAAAAAATAAAAAAGAAAATAAAAAATAGAAAAAATAAAAAAATAGAACAAATAAAAAAATAGAAAAAATAAAAAAAAATAGAAAAAATAGAAAAAAATAGAAAAAATTAAAAATTGAAAAAATAAAAAAATTAAAAAAATAAAAAAAATAGAAAAAATAAAAAAAATAGAAAAAATAAAAAAAATAGAAAAAATGGGAAAAATAAAAAATATAAAAATTGAAAAAGAAAAGAATTCAAAACAATTATAAATAAAATAAATAACAAAATAGAAGAAGACAACAAAGCAAACAAAAAAATCACAAATAAAATAGTATAAGAATAAGTTTTAAATAAGACATTTTAGAAAATATAGATTTTTTCGTAAATTTTTCAATATTCATTTTTTTCTTAAATTTAAGTTTTTCTCAGTTGTGTGATAAAGACTGTAAAATTTGAAAAAAAAAAACATTTTTACTTCTATCATATGCAAGCATTTAAATACAAATATATTCATAAAAGTCTTTAAGCGACTAAACCAACGTTAGTCCAGCACAGTTTTTGTTTGTGTATGTACAAATTAAAAAAAAAATTATTAATTTTTTCGTATATAACACTATTGAACAGTTTATTATATCCTGTACTTACATATGTACATATATACCTATATCTATAATATATGTACGTGCTCACAAATTGACTGAATATCACGACAGAATACTTTTACGATCGCACATTTGCTCTCTCATGCACTCGTACATGTCAATTTTGATTAATTAAAACACTGCTAATGCTTGGAACTCTGACTCAACGTCATCACTATCTTGCTAACAGCTCAGAATTTCATCGTAATATACCAATATGAACATGTACATATTATACATAGGTATGTACATACTTGTATGTATCTGTACAAACGTAGTTGTTACGTATTGTAGCAAAACAAACACTTCTCTTTCCTGTGTTCACTGCTTTTGGTTTATTTTCTTAAAGACCGGCGCGATGTTTTGCTTGATCATCAGCCAATTGGATAATAATAATAGCTCCATAAATGTGTGTCAGTATGCGTGTATGGATGTGGAAGGCCCAGAACACAAATAACACATGTAGCGTGAAGCAACAATGTGCTTCACAGCAGACTCTCGCTAGATTTCTGCAGCAAAGCTCAGTGCATTTGAGCTTTTGTTCTTAAAGTAGATCTAGAAAAGAAATATGAAATCGTTAAAAGCTCTTAATGATGTAACCATATGTTAATGTAATGTTAACCAATTTTTCGATGCAATAATGTATATACAGTGCTTCTTCTTCTTTACTGGCGTAGACACCGCTTAGACGATTATAGCGGAGTTAACAACAGCGCGCCATTTTTTTTTTTTTCGGTGTTTGGCGCCAATTGGACATGGTAAGAACAGTCAGGCTCTTCTCTCCTGGAGTTAAGGTTATACTCTTCCGTTGCTTTCACCGGCGGGTACTGCATTGAAAACTTTTAAAGCAGGAGTATTTTTTACCAAATTCACGACCAAATGTTTTATCTATCGAAAACAAACTGACAATCCAAAATGGTGGATATTGCCAACATATACGAGGTATGTTCAAAAAGTATCGCGAATTTTGAATTTTCGCGGGTTACGTATAATCGAGTTTCGATTTCTTTGTAGCGTTATGTTGATACTCATGTCTGTCACTTATGCCGACAAGCTCGGCCAGTTTGAATGTTTACTTAATTGTCGACAGCTGCTTTGCTTGCACGTGATTTAAATGGTCTTCGATTTTTACCTATTCAAAAAAATGGATCAAAGAACCTGTATAAAATTTTGTGGGAAAAACGAAATTAAGTGCGCGGATGCATTCCGAATATTGACTGTAGCATACGGAGAAGCCACCTTGGACCGAAGCAACGTTTATCGGTGGTACAAAATGTTCTCAGAAGGCCGAGAAGATGTGAACGACAAAAAGCGTGCCGGACGCCCGAGCGCTTCAACAACAGACGAATAAATTAATTGCAGGGGCGTGGTGCATCATGAGTTCTTGCCACAGGGTAAAACGGTCAATAAGGAATATTACCTGCAAGTTATGCGCAATTTGCGCGAAGCAATCCGCCAGAAACGCCCGGTGCTTTTGCACCACGATAACGCCCCTGCTCACACATCGTTGCTTGTGCGCGACTTTTTGGCCAAAAACAACACACTAATGATGCCGCAGCCACCGTATTCCCCAGATCTGGCCGCCTGTGACTTTTTCTTGTTCCCTTAACTGAAGAGGCTTATGAAAGGACGACGTTACGGTACGATTGACGAGATAAAGACGGAATCGAAGGAGGAGCTGAACAAGATAAAAAAATGATTTTTTGAAGTGCTTCGAAGATTGGAAAAACCGTTGGCACAAGTGTATAATATCTCATGGGGATTACTTTGAAGGGGACAAAATAGATATTTGTGAATAAATAAATAATTTTTGAAAAAACACAAAATTTCCGATATTTTTTGAACACACCTCGTACAACAGACATGTGTACCAACATAACAGTAAAGAAGCGAAAATCGAACGAAAAAATATATATATAGACACATATTGTATATAGAAAGAGACCGATAGAGACAGACAGAAACAAAGAGGGAGACAAAATATAGATTGTCAAGTCGAAGACGGCTCTGTACTTCTATTAAGGTTTCAACAGGAATAGTATAGAAGTGAAATACTGAATGATATCGATTCCAATATACTTTCAATTGTTTATGAGCAAAATTTTTGCGACACGTCCTTGACCTTGAGCTCTTTGACTGTACGCAAAATTAAATGCGATTAATTTTTTGGAGGAGTTGATGAAGAGGTGAAAACTCTAAACCTACATAAATATATGTAGTTTCTCATATATCTGAATGTAAGAGCAAAGCAATTCTTCGGGGGAGTATCCAGATATTACGATAAAAACGTAGTTTGTTAATATAGAGGTTCCTCATTGTCGTTTATTAGTATAGCTTAACGAACAGTGTCGGATACTTTCGTGTATTCGGGAGCATTGCGCACGACGCTATGGATCTTGAGTGCGAAATTTGCTGAGCTAGCTCTCTCAGTAATGATCCAAATCCTTTTATAATCCTTGATAACGAAATTGACTTGTCTGACGTATAACTAAAGACGGTGCAATTGTTTAGTACTAAATTCATTTATTATTATTTCGTGACGAATAATTGCAATACAATTTTACTTACAAATAAAGGTCATAGAATAGAGCGACTACTAGAGGCAAAGGTAAATTTAAGGAAATGCTGATATTCATACACTTTTTCAACACCGTCTACTACGCCTGCGCCGACGTTTCGGGCAATAGGATTCATTGAAATCTTCAGACATACAATCATGCATGGCCTTACAACGTCGTGTACTACAACCATTGAGGTAATCCCAGAACATCTCAACGTTCAATGACACCTTCCGTTCGATGCGTTGATATTTCTTTTTGATTAAATGAAAATGATCCGTTGCCTGACCAACAAATGCCAATATGACCAAACTGATGGCAGTCGTCGTAAGACCCAAAATGAGTGTTTCATAATTTGCATATGTCGTCGTGGACATGCCCATAATGAGTAGCAAGGATTTAATTAAACGCCAACAGAGTTTCTCCAGCGTACACCACACGATGCCAGCGCCGAATTCCGTTAGAAATATTGTGATAATCGTTTCAACCATCACCTGACAAAAATATGGCAAATGCATATAACGCACCGGATATAGACACAAATCCGAAATGAGATCCAATAATGCGATGAGAAATATCCAACTGGCGAGTGTGGGCGCAGGCGAGCAGAGTCCCTTCTCCGGTTCGAAGAAGAATGACGTGCGCAAAATAATTTGAAATAGCGCCGCAGTGACAATGGCGGTTGTGACAGTCATTTGATTTGTGTTTATTCTCTTGGAATATTGGAATTTGGTCAGTTCTTTATTTGAATTAATATAAAATTTTATTATTTGAACTTGGAATTCTTTCCGAAATTTATAATCACAAATTTTTTATTTGGAAATATGTAATTTTTTTTTTCAATTTTTTATAAACGAAACAAATTTTCACAATAAACAAATTTAAAAACTAATTTCTCATTTATTCTGAAATGTTTTTCAAAGTTTTTTAATTTGATTTTTTTGTAGTAGGAAATTTTTTATGGGACCTATTTCGATTTATTTTTCTTGTTTATTCGTGTTACGAAGTCAATGATTTTTACAGTTCTTGGGATAACTCAAAATATCAGACTTCGACTTCGCTTTCTAAAGCTTAAACCTCTTTACTCATTGAGAGAAAGTGATCTAAATAAACGTTAAAGCTTTCCCACTTCGCAAACTGGGATTTTCGAATTTAGTACTTGATAATACCTGAGCTTTCTGAGCTTTTTCATTTAACTACACCTTAAAAAAGTGGTATTATTAAGCTTATCGCCGAGAAAACTCCGAATGTGTGATTCCCACAGCTTTTACTCTACCACCGGCACCCGAATTGTTTCATTTAATGGGATCTGATAACACCACTGTTATCATACCATGTCTGAAATACACTCGAAGAGCTTGGCATCACCAAAGGGCGAAGGCAATTTTGGAAATTGGTTGAACTAGAAATCGAACCGTGGCCTTCAAAAGGGCAGTATGCCTTGCTAACCACTCGTCTAAGCATATCTTATACTGCGTCAAATTTCTTGAACCCCTAACTGGGGAATGAACTCTTTTCAAACATGCCTTTTAATGTGAGAGAGGTTTTTAAATGGGTTGGCTTAAGGGGGGGAGGGGGGTTGGCACATGCATGAATTGGATTTGAACCATACTCGACACGTTTCTATAAGGCTGGAGCTAGAAGCACATATAAGATTTTGACGTCTAAATCTATCGATTCTACCTTACCCGTCTTTTAGATATCTCAGAAATAGTTACCCCGTCTGTATACGGAGACACTAAGTTCTCTTTTGCTTAATTTTACAAGAGTTTAGTCTGTTTTCCATCCACGCTGTCCCACCGCTACTTAATGGTTGTATAATCTCATATATCTTTCTAATATTCCGCCCTCGATTCTCCAGCAACCATACTGCTGTTGCCAAGAAGGGTGGATTTTCAAGTATCTGCCATCTATGTAGAATTTTGACACCAAACATTTACTTTCCCCCTTTATCCACATTCAGACCTGCTAGGGCTTATGACGGAAAGAGATTATTTTCAGCAGAGAATGTCGCTTTCGTCGGCCGTGTATGAACAGGCTAACCTTTTTCTACATTTATCGAATGAAAACGAAGTTTAGTAGTCACATATCTTTCCGGCACTAACGGTTTTAATTATTTTAATTAATATTTTTAATTTCTTTCATTTCAGCTATACTCGTGCCTCGCTTCTGGAGTGTAGAAACTGGTTTGTTGTTCTTAGTGGCTGCCGCGCTTATCGGTCGTTCCGTCAGTGATATTTGGATGATACAGAATGCCACAGTCGTGGAGAGCACAATTATACACATGAATAAAGATAAATTCAAATCTGCGTTACTAAAATATCTAGCCGCATTGCCGATGGTATGTAGGGACACAAAAAAGATATGCCATGAAAGAGTTTTTAAAAATTTGCATATTTTTCTTTTTTTTTTTTTGTTCATTTCTTAAAGATTTCTGTTGTCACAAATATTCTCAAATGGAGTTTGGGCGAATTAAAATTGAGATTCCGAACAAATTTAACACATCATCTGTATAATCAGTACCTGAGGTATGTGTTTATATATAATTGAAATATTGTAATAAAAATATTAATAATACAATTTCTTTTTCCCTCTCTCTCGCTCTCTTCACAGCGGTTACACATATTATAAAATGTCCAATTTGGACAACAGAATAGCGAACGCCGATCAATTACTTACCACAGACATAGACAAGTTCTGTGAGAGCGCCACAGATTTATATTCGAATATCAGTAAACCGGTGCTGGATATATTCATTTATGTTTATCGTTTAACTGTGAATTTGGGCGGCAAGGTATATATACATATATGATTTTGAATTCAGTATTTGTATTGTGTCTTTCATTCCTTCCATTTTTCGTTTTTCCTCTTAGACTCCCTCAATACTTATGTTGTATTTGCTCTTTGCCGGCATTGTGCTCACACGACTACGTCGCCCCACCGGTCGTCTAACGGTAGAGGAACAAAAATTGGAAGGTGAATTCCGTTATGTTAACAGTCGCCTGATAACGAACTCTGAAGAGGTCGCCTTCTATCAGGGCAACACACGTGAGAAACTTACGCTGCTGGCCAGCTATTCGAAATTACGTACACATTTACGTAAATTTTTGGAATTCCGCGTTAGCATGGGCATTGTGGATAATATTGTGGGAAAATGTGAGTAGTTGGTTTTGAATTATTTAAATTGTTGTCTCTACTTTGGCGTTTGGTGTTTTTATTTAAATCATTCTCCTTTTTTCACAGATTTCGCGTCAATTGTCGGATTTTATGCAGTATCAATTCCATTCTTCACGGACAATCATCCTTTGCTGTCGGGCGAGCAGAGTGGTCAACGCTTGCAGGTTTGTTGTTCTCGCTAATTATACATACATATATTTGCTATATGAACCACATGGTAAAACAAGATAAACGGTATCATTGGAAGGATCAATTGTCTGATGTAACCAAACTGCGGGATAATATCAAATATCTCGTCGGAGCTGAAAGAGTGCGCCAGCTATTTTAAGTAGCTTTTCAAACGACAGTCTCCCTTGTCTTCATCGAGTCCGAGATGGATTTTTATGAGGAGCTTTCCCTGCCGAGGGGTGACCGTAATTAGAAGAATTAAATTTCATTGGTATTAGGTCTCGAGTCCTGGCCATTGGGTTTCGTGGAATATTGCGTGAGTGAAAGTACTTGACCGGATAAAATTCAGCGTCGTTCCTGAATAAAAACCCGACTGTCGCGAGAGATATATGATTTAATTGCCTCTTACGACAGGCATGCCTTACTGCGAGTAAAGTTGCTCTCGTCCCTAACTAACTATCTGAGCTCAGTATCGCGTTAGCATGGCTTTCATAAAGTGTACACAACCGCAACGGCACTAAGGGCCATAAACTTTCAGATCGACATGCACGCGAACGGATATGCTGGCACAAGATATGTCGAAAGCCTTCGGCACAGTAAGTCTCGCAGGCTATTATCGAACATGAAGGACTCTCTGTTTCATCTGGCTCTGACATAGCAATTGAACGAACCTCTTGAATTAGACGAATATAATCCGAGTTCAGCGAGTTGAACAACTGAATTGAGAGTTCTTTTTTTTCTGTTTGCCTCCCTTACTATTTGGCTTGGAATCAGTTCGGGATATTGCTACCTCTCGGAATTCTCTCGTTTTTAACTGCTAATAACCTTACACAATACATTAATATATGCATATATACATAATTGGCGCTTTGAAACCGCTTGAGCGATTTTCGTCCGATTTTTGGTTTTGCTTCTTACATAATCCCCCAGGACCACCACCTGGTCGAGAAGTATCGGCTAGACTTCAATATTGAAAGTCAATGACGTCAAGTACGGGGTGTTACTTTCGAAAATCTGAACTCACTCTGTATACAATTCTCTTTCTTCTGGCAAAGACAAAGAGAATTTGCTGACAACAAGCGCGCCGCTGGGTCTATCTGCATATCGCGAGGTGCAGATGATGAAGTGATAGACCTGTCTTAAAATCTTCCTCGGCACCATAATAAGAATCCTCCTGATGTTGCCTGCAAAACACCTTCACCGCCCGACACTTATACATAGACTTCCCATTTAAGCGCATAACAAGCTATTAAAATTCATCATTCGTTTCAATAAAATGTATTCTACCCTTTTTGCAGGCCTATTATACCTATGGTAGAATGTTAGTAAAATTAGCCGAGGCTATTGGTCGCTTAGTGTTGGCCGGTCGCGAGATGTCGCGCCTAGCAGGTAAGTACTTGTACCTATCTTTCCTAAAAGCATATGAACTACTAATATACGATATCGCCTCCACGCTAAGGCTTTACGGCGCGCATGACCGAGCTAATTAAAGTGCTGAGCGACCTCAATAAAGGGCGATACGAGCGCACTATGGTGAATAATTTATTAAATGGTGATAATTGCTTCGGACCCAACAAAGGCATCATGACATTCGTGGATAATATTATACGTTTTGAAAAAGTGCCACTGGTAACACCAAACGGTGATGTATTGGTTAAGGAATTAACCTTTGAGGTTAAGTAAGTACTCAAAAAAAAAAAAAACAAAAAAAAATGCTATAAAATATAGTTTTTAATATAAAAATCTCTTTTTTTTTACCAGATCGGGCATGAATGTGTTGGTTTGCGGTCCAAATGGCTGTGGTAAATCTAGTCTATTCCGTATACTCGGCGAGCTGTGGCCAACATGGGGTGGCAAATTGACGAAACCACCACGTGGTAAACTTTTCTACATACCGCAACGTCCATATATGACATTGGGTTCACTACGCGATCAGGTAAATGTGTGGCATAATTCGTTATTTTTTTTCCACAAAAGCTTTAAAACATATATTTATTTTCACTTAACTGCAGATAATTTATCCACACACTCGCGACGAAATGCTACGCAGCGGCAAAAGCGATGAAGATCTTATGAAATATTTAGACATTGTACAGTTAACTTATTTGGAGCAACGAGAGAATGGTCTAAATGCCATTGAGGATTGGATCGATGTACTGTCGGGTGGCGAGAAGCAACGTATTGCCATGGCGCGCCTCTTCTATCACAGTCCACAATTTGCTATATTAGACGAATGCACCAGTGCGGTGTCCGTTGATGTTGAGGGTAAAATGTATAGCTATTGCCGTGAAGCGGGCATAACATTATTCACAGTGTCACATCGTAAATCGTTGTGGACGCATCACGACTATTATTTGCAATTCGATGGGCGTGGCAGTTATGAATTCGGACCAATCGATCAAGCGAAAGAGCAATTTGGCTCGTAAAAATAAAAAAAATAAAAACAAAAATAAAAATAAAAACTTTAAAATTAGTAAAATCTAAATGCATTAATTGTAATGTAGATAATTTAATAATAATAATAACAATAAAAACAACAACAATAAAAATAACACTTGACGTCAGTAATAATGCCAACATTCACAAGGCAAAAACTTGTGTGCACTGAGTGGTCGAAAAGTGTGCTCTAGAGGCGTTAAATTTCCACATAATTTTCAAAATATGATGAAAAAATTATTATCTTCAATTCTCATGTTTGGCCAATATTTGCGTCTTTTGAACAGCACAAGTTGTTTGCGCGTTATTTCAAGTGTTCTGGTGTGAAAATTATAAAATTATTATTAATTTTAATTTTTTTTTTTGCTCATTATTTCAATGGTGATCTTTTATAGTATAAATTACACATATGTATTGCATGTATATATGTATATTTTACTTTTAATGCTTAATAATACATATTTGTGTTGCTTAAATAATTGTAGTTTATTTTTCTCTTTCCTTACTCTCGCTTAACTAAGTTGTGTGTATGATGTTTGTATATGTAAATTGGTGCTGGCGGTAAAATGTAAAAGTGGAAATATATATTGAATTGGAAAACTCTTTTATTCATTTCTTTTAGTATTTAATTTAATTTAACCATGTAGCAGTTATATGTATGTAACATAACATATTTCCAAATATCTACATGCATATACATATTATGCCACACACATTATATAGTGATTACTGTAAAATGCTTGTAATTAAAAATAATATAAAACTTAAAAAATTTACTACGAAAATTAAAATAAAATGAATAAAGCAATTTATTTGCTATCCAACTACATACATAAACTTGTATATACGAAAATCCGCATACTTGTATGAATATTGTAAAAATGAAAAAGGAATCAAATTTAAATAAAAAATAATAAATTGTATTAAAAATATATTTAATTTTTATTATTTTTCATTTTAAGTCGTAAAACCTCTTAATCATTCTAACGTCTCTTAAAGGGGGTGAGGAGATTTTTTTAGGAACAATAATTATGTGACACTCAAGAGGTTTCGCAGGCTGGTGTTCTCTCCCCACTGCTGTTTAACATTTATATCTCGCAACACCCTTCTCCACCGGATGTGATCTCACTGATCTCATATGCAGATGGTTGCTTGATATTGGCGTCTGGTCGGAATATTGATGACTTATGTCACTTTTGAACATGATTTTGAACTGATATCTCGATGACCTTTCCCACTACTGCAAGACAATTAAAACTACAACCAGCAAAATCCTCGACTATCCTCTTTACAAAGGAGTACAGGCTTTAACTCGATGTGAAAGTCGATGGCGGGAAAATTCCGTCCGTAAACAAACTGAAAGTCACATTCGACAGTCTGCACTCCTTCACTCCGCACACGACTGCAATTGCCACAAAACTCCAAAGCCGCAACTAAATCCCTATAGCGTTAGCCGGCAGCACATGGGAAAAGGCAAAGAAACCTTGCTAGTAGGATACGAGAGCAATTGACCGGCCGGCCGTAGGCTATGCTAGACCGATTGTGGGCGCCGCGGATTAGTGAGCCGCAAATAAAAAGCTACAAGTCTGCCAAAACACGGCTCTCAGCAGCGTGGAAGAAAACCTTCTGATGTTGTCAGAGCATCACTTGCACAGCTGCGCATCTGTGCTACCAGTTAAGGGTGCTACCGTATATACACCCTAACAGACAATTTTGGAAACTGAACCACCACACAGACACATCACAGAGAAAGTGCTTGACCTAAAGGACTGCATTTCGCACCACTTACAAGAACCGCTGGATAGGATCGAGAGTCCGTCGATATTTTCTTGAACTTCCTTCCAGTGAATGGCGTGAATGGTCAAACTACTACCTATTGCAGACGGCTCTAGCTGTCTACTGGCACAACTTGGATCTAAATATTGTCGTAGATGAAACTCCTACTTACCAGGGCTTTACCCCGACATATCGAAAGTATGTATCCGAATGGCATCCACCAGCTCTTTGCCTGCCCCTGAAACCAACTCATCTAACTAAGCTTTGCCTCTGGTCTGAACTCGTCGAAACAGCTCATTTCCTGGAATCCCCATTAGGTTACCTCGACTACCGTTGCTAACAGCGAGAAGACCAAAAATTCCGCTGATATTAGCATTGATAAGAAAGCGAGGCGAAGGAGGGTGTTATAAAACAGACAGTCAGCGCACTTGAGCCTTGGTTTCCTCGACGCTATTTGCATTTATCGAAGGATAGTAGATGTCGCCATCCCGGGGAGTACACCTTTGCGCTGAGCCCAGAGTATGACTTTTGGGATATCATGATTTGGCCAAATAATATCGCTTCCCTGTCCAACCTCTTCCATTCCACTGGATTATTTATCTTGACGTCTTCCACTTAGAAAAACCATTAAGAAAGGTAGTAACCTGAGGCAGGACATCCTAATGTAAGATATGTGAACGCTTTTTCCAACTCCACTTGCTTACAGCTTCCTATCGTAACATCTTTCAAAAGGGATTCCAAATTTCTCTGCACGGCGCTGTCTCATGCAGTGAGCTTGGGGGACTCATACGGTCATTGAGTTGTCCTCTGACTCTATTTCGAACAAATTTACCTAAATTTTCTGTGTGAGTCCATCTGTTCTGCGTAAATGCAACCAAAGATATGTCAGTGAGTTCTTTATAGGAAAGAAACTGCTTGGTCTAGTTTAGACTCCCAAGTTCGTCTGAGACCAAAGTGAGACGCAGCCTCTCCCTCAGTTCTGCTTGGAAATCGGACAGTTTGCATAATGTTTGAATTATTGTTAAGCGATCCAAGCGTCTTATAGACGGAAAGCTAGCTACGGAGGTAAACAGTCACTCGGTAAAGTCACATATTACAGGTGCGGTAGCTACGGAAATATGGAATGATAAGCCGACAGAGCTCTAGGAGGATGCATAAAGACAGATAGGAGAGCAAAACTTGTAATTTTTTTCGTAAACTAAGTGATGTGGAACAGTACAACTTTGAAAATTGGTAATTTAAACGGGAATACTATAAAGAAGCAAGGAAAAATTGTCAGAAGGACTTCGGCGCGCCCGGCGATCTACTACAAATTCAAGATAAAAAGCCGGCAGAAGATCCTTAAGTTGCATAAAAATTGTGCTCTTTCGATGACTAAAAGCATCAAACTCTGTAAGTCCATATCAAAGACGTGCTGAAGAAACTTACATGATGCCGACATCCAATCAGTCGGTAATTACGGTTTTAAAGAGATAGAATTTATGGGCCTTTGCTAATGAGCAATGGAGGCTAGTACAGAGTTGGTTAAGATGATTTGTAGTTCAGCGAATTAAGATACCGTCGTGTTTATGCTACGGCTGCTGGACTCTATCGTATATAACAGATGATCGAAGTAAAGATACTTTTTTCAATATCCCATTTTCTTGGCAGATCATCCGCGAGTCATGTCAATCTGTCATGTTATTTTTCTTCAGTATTGTTTGGCAGTTCAGCAGTGAAAGACTTGAACTTTATTACGAAAATTCACGTTGTGTGAAGAATGTGTTTCACGTACTTCGCTCAACTTATGGTCAACATAATCGGCCTACTGAGCGTACTACTGGCAAAACCGTCACTTATCTTGAGACCCAGAATTCCTTATTGAATAACATTCGACTGAATAGACCACGTCCAACAGTTCACATTCCAGTGAAGAAAATATAGCGACCGTAGGTGAGAGTGCACACGTAGACCGTGGAGAGTCGATTCGGCACCGTTCCCAGCAACTCGTACGACTGACGTATGGTGCGAGTTGGCACATTTTACGTCGAGATCTTAAATAGAAAACATACGAAATACAACTTGTGCAAGAGCAGATCCCGTTCGAACTTCCCAAACGACAACGCCCCGCATTAAGGGCTCTTGAAAAGTTCCAAGAAGAACCGTCGTTGTCGAGCCAAATTTTGTATAGCGATAAGGCTCATATCTGGCTCAATGGGAATGTCAACAAGAAAATTCTCGCACTTGAAATAAAGAGCTACCCGAAGAGAAAAAAACAAAGGTTTGCTATGGTTTGTGGACCGGTGGAATCATCGCTTCATATTTCTTCAAAATGGATGCCGGTGAGAAGGTAACCGTTATCCCGCTATGGTAACCGACTGTTTGTTCGTGATTTCGGCGACATTTGGTTGCAACAAGACGGTGCCACTTCCCACACATCGCACCAATCAATAGATTTATTGAGAGAACACTTCAGTGAGTGGATAATTTCACTTTTTGGACCGATCGATTAGCCACCAAGATCACGTGATCCTTCACAAAGTTCGTCTTTTTCCTGTGGGGATATGTAAAATCGTAAGTCTTTGCAGGCAATCCCGCTTCGATCAACACATTACGCGTGTCATTCACCAGCCGATGGCCCATCTGGGCGTAGCCGCGGTCAACAGTTGAAAAATTATGCTTCGAATGACAAATTAAATTAAGGAAGTGGAGCTATGGGCTCTATGTGCATATAATTAAAATGAACTCTAAATCTATTCATATTGTTTTGGGAAGGACTGCGGCGCATTCGGCGATTCATTTCCAAAGTCAAAGTGACCACGAAAACTAGGTAGAAAGCCTCAAACCGAAACATAACCTCATTTTCTCCTACTCATATATACATACATTTGGATGTACATATATACATACGAGTATACAAAAAGAAAACACCAATTTTCCACATGTGAGTATGTATGTATATCCGTTTATTTATTGGTAAATCATAATTAGCGAAACATATGCAAATATTTATTTAAATCTTTTTCTGCTTGTATATAAGTATAAGTACATATAATATGTAAAGTGTAGGCATATATAAACATGTATGTGATTAAACAAAAGATGGAGGTATTATTCCACATTTTCTGTCGATTTTTTTCATTTTTTTCTTATTCATATGTGTTTACATATCAATATATGTGTGTATCATATGTAAATATGTATTTATGTGTGTGTACTTGACCATTTGCCTTGATTGATTTCAAAATATTTATTCATTGGTATTTTTGGCTTTAAATTTTTCTAAAGCATTCACACATGTACTTATATCTGTATGTATGTATGTATGTATTACATTTAACCGCTTACTTACAACTGCAATACATATAGTGTTTTTGCATATTTTTTTTGCTTAGATAAATTGGGCTTACATATATATGTATGTATGTAATATAATATATGTAAGTGTATGTATATGCATACATACATATACATTTGTAAGTGGTAATAAATTACTGGAATTTTCTTTACTGCATAAATACGTAAGGATATATGTATGTATGCATGTACATAAAGGTATCTGCACACTCCATATGTATATAATATGTAAGTATGAATACCAGCAAAGTGATTACAGTTGTTAATATCATTATAACATATATTATTAGTTTTTATTTTTTAATTAATTTATTTTTTTTATAAATTTTTAGTTTTTTTTTTTGTAATTAGCTTTCAACTAATTTTGTTAATTTTTTTTCTTAAAATTTTACTAAGTAATATGTATATTTTTGTGTTTTTTATTATATACATATTTATTTTTTATTTATTTTTTTTTTGATATAAATTTTTTTGTGTTATTTTTTAATTTATTTTTAATACTTTTCAAATTTTTTTTTTTCATTTATTGTTGTTGAAAAGTATATTTCAAATTAGTTTGCTCTTAACTTTAATTTTTATTTTTGGATTTGACTATGAAGTATGTGCTTTTATTTATTATAATCTGTATAAATAATTTTTTCATTTAATTTCTTTTTTTGAAATTTTTGTTTTATTTTTTGAAATTTTATTTTTTAAAATTTATTTACTCTGAATTATTATTATTTTTTGCATTTTACTATGTATAAATGTTTTATTTATTATTCTGTATAATCAGTTTTTTTTATTTAATATTTTTAAAA